GCCGGTGCGGGCCGCGCTCGGTGCCCGCGGGGGCGGACGGGGAAGTCCCGACTTACCTGTCATTACTTTCTACGCCATCTTGGATCCACTTGTCAACGTCCCACAAAGCATTGTGGGAAAGGCCGGCCCTCCCCGCGGCCCGGAAGGCGGAGGGCGGCGGTGTGAGGGGACGGGACGGGACAGGGACGAGAATGGGATCGGCAGCGGCATGGGGATTGGGACGGGGACAGGAATGGGATCCGGGTGGGGCCCAGGACCGGGACGGAACGGCGATGGGGACAGGGTCGCGCTCCGGGATAGGGGATGGGGATGAGGATGTGGACCGGGACCCGATATCCCCTCAGCCCGGCGGCCGCTGAAGCGCAGCCCGGGATCCCCTCACGAAACAGCGTCCGGGGCCACCTCCGCTCCACCCGCGCTAGAAACCGACTACTTCGAGGGGGTTCCGTGTTTTCTTTATTTTTTTCTCTTTTTTTCCCCTCCCCTTCCCTGGGCTCGGAGCGCGGCTGCGGAGCCCGAGGGTCACTGGCGGGACCGGTACCGGCAGGCGGGGGGGCCGGCCAGAGCCGGACACAGAGCCCACCCCTGAAAAAATCTTGGAAATTACTCTTTCTCATGGTTTTTCTACTGCATGAGTTGGATTATTTTTTTTTTTTTTTTTTTTTTTTTTTTTTTTTTTTTTCTGTTTGGTTTGGGGTTTTTTGGTTTTTTTCTTTTTTTTTTTTTTTTTTAATTATTTTCCTGTGGCTTTTTAAAGTTCTTCCCTCAAAGAAATTTGGGGGAGGCCGGGTGCGGGTTCCGAGGCTGTCTAGGAGCAGCTCATGCTGTCACCGTGTTTTCCAAACCCATCATCCTGTGCTGAAGGACTGCTCATGAATCCAGAAACTGCTTTGCATAACAGTTTTATTTTCATGGAGTATTCTTCCCTGTTAGCTGTGTTTTCAGACTCTTTGGCAATCAGTTCTCAATACCTACGCTGTTTTGCAGACTGGCTTTTTCAAGGCGTTCCTGGCTTAGCTGCCGTGGATGGGTGCCCTGTGCTCTGTATAGGCTGTTGTGCTTTAGGGCAAAGTGGACAAGAAATTGGGGGAAAGCAGCTTATTTCAGAATATTAGGGAAGTTTATCACCAAAACAGAATTCCACTGTTTTTTAAAAACTTTTCCTTCTCCTTTAATTCAAATAAGATCCAGATGATTTTAGTATTGGATCTTCCTGTATAATGTATTTACATTTAAATTTAAATTTACGTCTAATGCCTCATAACTCTTTGAAGAATAACCACCAGCCAAGCCTCTGATGCATTACCACTGCAAGAAAATACTTGTGCCCAAGAAGGTTTTCAATATTCATCAGTAATGCATTTATAGAGAGAGCTCCTTGCAACAATGTAAATACAGGAGGAAATAAATCTAAATAAATCCTTTGCATTTACCGCCCCATTCTTAAGTCAGTCTACTTTTTAATTCAGCTTCATAACTAGTTGGGAGTGCAGTTGTGCTGTTGCAGAGGGGAGTGTGGGTGGTCCCAGCCTCAACCCAGGAGATGCCATTTCAGGATAAAACCCTCCTGTGCTCCTGTGAAGCTTGCCATAGGCAATTTCTGCTGTCCCTGCTGCCAGCCTGACACCTTCCCTAATGCTGTGACTTCTGTTTTCAGTGGGCACTGTGCAAGAACAGGGATCAAAGAAAGCTGAAACTGTGTTTAAGATCCAACTAACTTTGTGTCGTTCAGTCCAGGTTGTTGAAAGGGAATTAGTCCTTTTACTTTTGAGGCTGTCTTTGGTACCTAGTGAACTTTCTCTTACTGGTCATTTTCTTCTGTTAGAAAATGCAAAGGTTTTCTTTAAAATAAATGACAATTAGAAAAAACAGTGGAAGATAAATTATCAATGTATGCATATTTTTAGATATAAACACATATATCCTCTGAAGTTTAATTTGGAGAAGACAAATTTAGTTGGTTTATTTTTTACATAAGCTTTTTATGAGTCCATTTGTTCTGACAGTATTTTTTTTATAATGTGCTAAGAAGAAAACTGTGTGGCAGTGACTGAGTTATTGGAAGATCTGTTCAGTGACAGACCCCATTCTTACCATTCTCTGTCTCTGCTGATTTAAAGTTCCAGATTGGATGGAGCAAGAGGCACAGGCAGCTCTGAAAAGGTGGCAACTCTGCCCAGTAGGAACAGCCCAGAAAGGAGCTGGGGAGGACCATGGGAACACCAATATATAAAACACAACATGGAGATGTGCTCTTGCACCCACTGCTTTTAATGATCTTGGTACTTTAACCCTTTTAGCTTCCATATGAAGGTTTTAGTTTGTTTTGTGGACTGGTCAAGTGTATTGCATAAACCCTCAGTGGAGGTGCCAGAGGCTGGACAGGGAACCGGCAGCTCTGGGATGGGGGTGGCCAAGTGCCAAGCACTGCCCTGTTCAAGCAGAGCCTGCAAGCTTGGAACAACTCTCTTGTTTCCATGTGCTGTCCCCTCTAAGCTCTTTCAAGGTCCTTGTTAGCAGATAGAAAGATGAAGACTGTTGGTCCAAAACAAATGGGGCTCCAAGGGCTCATTAACCTTGGAAATTCTGCTCAGCGTGAGAATCATAGCAACTAGCTTAAGGGATGGGATCCCAAATCCAAAGGGCCTAAAAAACCTCAAATTTTTACTAATTTACTTCTGTGGTAATATCCCAGGAGGCAGAGAATGGCCCAGGAACTGGTTAGAGATTACCTGGGAAGGGAAGAAATAGACTTTTTGTAGCTTTCACTGACATGTTTCAATACAGTATGAAAGGATAATTTAACAAAATAAGATTATTATATATTGTATCATAATTATAAGATTATTATATTCCTACTACTCTAAGAACTCAATATCTATATATCTATCTATAGGAGACCTCTCTCTTTCCTTGATGTGTATTACCCCAGTGGAAACTGCAGTTTTGCTTTCCAACCTCTGCTCTCGAACACAACCCCCCAGGATGAGCTGGCAAGCCAGGCTATCACTGAGCACTGGGCAAGGCACAGAACCAGATGTGTTGCATACTGACTATTGCCTTGCATTTCCAGAATTCTCCAGACTTCCTAAATTTCTGGAATTCAATGGGGTTTCATAGCATGAGGAGAGCTCGCAGTGCTAGACTTCTGCCCAAAGAGACCAGGAGCAGGGGGTGACACAGAGTCTGGGGGGAGAAGAAAAGCAACAGTGGATGTTGGAAATGTAAGAAATACCAAAAGCATAATGGGGATGCATGAGAGAGTAACAAAGACAAGGAATTCCCACTCAGCATCATGAGACTTGACAGGATTCAGATCATCAAAAGCCTAACAGTGATATTTCTAGGGACTCATTACAATAGTTAAAACTTTAAAAAACCCTCCAATGAATGCAGCAATATCAAACTCAATTCCACTTGTACATTTTTTAGGATTTTGAAATCTTTCAAATCTGAAAATAGCAATTTCTTACTGGATGTTTAGAAATCCCACCCTACCAGGGACCATGTGCACAAGGAATCCCTGTGCAGAAGCCCTAACACAGCCTGTCTCCCTACTCTTCAGTCAGGACTCTCTAAATGATGCTGGCTTACAGGGCTTCCCCCTATCCTGTGAAGCTAGGAGCCATGCCCTGGCCCTTAGAGAATCCAGGCTCCTTGCCAAAACCAGGAGTTTGAAAACCTGGGGCCACTCAGGGCTTCTAGGCTCCCTGCCATGAAGCAGAGATCTGAGCAGAGTGCGGCAAGGTGTGGCAGAGTTGGGAACTCTCAAACCCTCACTTGCTCCAGGCCTAATGGAGACTTGGTAGCCAAAAAGCCCTGGAGTCCTGTCTCACCCATGAGCTGCACACTTGGAATCACAACTGCAGCTTGGTTTCTACATCTTCAAAACAAAACTATTCTAATTATTTGAAACTTACACTGCTACTTTTTTCTTTCTTTTCTGCTTTCACAGGAAATTCAGAAAATCAATTTCATTCTATGCTCACTCCCATTTCTGGGAACTGGTATTTTGTGAATACAGAAAACTCCATTTTCAATCAGCTCCACTCATGATGTCTAACCGGAATGCAGGAAAAACCATTACAATTAACATGTAAGAGTAATAAGGACATAATAGAATACATTCAGCAGGGAATTGCCTCCCTGACCCTGCAAGCCCAACATCCCAGCAGGCTTCTCGAACAGATCATTCACCCCTGAGCAACAAAACAACAGGAGGCCTTTCTCAATGGAAGTGCCAGACAGATTGCAGCAACAGGAGCAATGTTTTTATTGTCTTAGCACACTGGACCTTTATAAATTTTTGAACTCCCTCAGAAGCAGCAATCATGGGAAAGTAACAGAAGTTAAGTGGTTTGGCCTCTGCCACAAACAAGGCAGTAGTAGACCAGGGATTAGATAGCAACAGTAGTTCTTACTCTTGGTAAACAATAAAGCAAACCCTTCCTAGGCAGCCATTAATGTCTAGTTATTAGGCTGAAGAGTAGCAAGTTTTGATTTTCCAGCATGAAAATTCCCCTGGAATTCCTCCAGAGTCCTCTAATGAACGGATGATCTCAACTTTAATCTTACTTCATAATTATCCAAGGGTAACATTTCAATGTGGACTGCTTAAAGCACATGTAATTTCTAGAGTAAGTAATATTCAAACTAATTCATTTCTCCTTTGATCCACAAAATGAGAGCGTTGAGAAGCAACTAGCAACAAGGGGATGTTGAGGGTACACTCAGAAGATAGAAACTACAAGGGTCAGAGTAATGTGATGGTTTGATCCCACACTGTCAAGATCAAAAGATCTTCAGTCAGTGCATTTTTTTTAAGCTGGTATGTTTTCTATGCTGATCTTTGAATTGCTCATGGAGGAGTTATATCTGACATATATCCAAACTTTAGGCTAAATAGATTATTTTCCACTTACTTGGAGTTAACCTATAGCCTAATAATTCCAGAGTTTTTTTCTAAAACTTCTATTTATTTTTGTGATGTATGGGGAGGGAAACCCTGAGGAATTCTGACAAGTACTCAGAAGTCTCACTCTGAGGACTGGGAAAGAGTCTGCCTTGGGCAGTATGTTCCAACCCAAAACTAAGGTATTCCAAGTGCAAACAAAAATCTCTGTCAGATCAAAAGACAGAGCTTGATCATTGTGGA